TGTGGATGACTGGATGTAGTGTGAGGAGCTTTGGGGTCCGTAGGGACTAGAAAAGCTTTACAGATACATTTACCAAGACGATGCTAACTTGCATCTATTATCCTGCATCAGCATGCCTCTGTGGGAGCAGAGTCTGTGTCCTGAACTGGCCTACCTGCCTGCAGTCCAGCTTCACCAACTGAAAACACTTATTGAAATGAACAATATGACCGTGGAGCAACTGGGATGCTGCCTCAGACTGGGCCGGGATGACTCCTCTCCCAAAACTCAAGCCCCTGGCCTCCTCGCTCTCCAGACACTTTGTTCATAAACATTTCTCTCAGTTTAAACATCTGCGATAAAACACTTTTACAACTTGATTGTGATTATTTTTGTGAGTAAGAAATCTGGATTTAATTTGGTCTTATGTGTTAACAATCATCATTTAAATATAAGAATCAATATTCCACACATTACTGGTTTTACTCAGGAGTTGTTCTTTAGCTTTTCTGTTCAACTCTGTTCAAATTCTATTAAATGAATTACCTTTATGTGCTACGGATTCAAACGTGCTCTGTAAACAGGGTTTGAACGATAGAAACAAAGAGGATTTCGATGCTCTGAATTCTACTTTAGTCTGTATTTACAATCAACGCCGATCAAGCACATGGAGCAGGAAGACGCACCTCTTTGACGTGCCGTTTGAGGTGCATGTAAACGCTCTGTCCTGTTTTGCGATAATGTCGCTCCACATGTTCTCGACCAAAGCCCAGGAATGTGTTCATGCACACATACAGGCCTCCCTCAGACTCCTGCGGAGCAAAACAAACAATAACAATGAGAAAGCACAACTGGCACACTATGAGCACATCTGAAATATTTCTGGGAACAATTTCAGAATCTTCTATTTTGCCAAACTCATCACAGTAACATCAAACACAGAGATGTGATTCTGACACTTTCCACAGTCTTTCTCGCTCAAAGAATTATTATTTGCACCAAAAACTTTCCACCTTTCAGCGTTTGTGCTGCTGACAAGCTTTAGTTTTAATGCAAACGCCTCCTCTGACAGGTCATTTAAGCCAAGGAAAGTAATTGATTATTGTCTCATATTAGGCTTCATACGAGCAACATGATACAACAGTTTTATGCTGTTGTTTCTGAAACTGAAAAGCCTCCCATTACAGGCAGACTATTTCATTAACAACATGTCTGAGGTCTTGGGAGAATGATTTTTACCTTCAGTAACAGCCCATAAGCTGAGACTGACTTGTGTCATGTCTTTGAGAGAAGAACACGATTCTGTGGTCGTCTTGTTATTATCAAAAAATGTCCACGTGAACAGTGACAGACACCTAAACTTTCAAATCTACAATAATCAACCGTTTCCTTTCCTTGACAGTTCACCTCACACGGGGAAACTAAACACTTGGAAAACACACCTTCAAAGTTAACCTAAATCTGCGACCAGGCCTTATGAACCTCCCCTGATAAACCTTTAAGTGGCCCAGAGTGACATATGAGCCTCAACAGTGCAGGGTAAAAATAACCCAGTCCTCAGGCCAACATGACGAACTCCAGACAGCTGAGTCACCTTTAAAAACGGGTTCAGTCCAGAAAGCGAGATTTCATTGGGGCAAAGAAATGTTATTAATATCTGTCACAGGTAGGAAGGGTACCTGTGACAGATATGCAGGGCTCAGTTCACGTACAGGAAGGACTGAATCATCAGCGCATCAAACCCCTTAAAGCTTCAAATAAAGCAGCAGCTGTGTTCGTGATGTCACTGCTGTCCTGTTCACAGAAGAAAAACGACAAAAATAAAGCAGAATAAGCATTTTCATACATATAGCAGAAGCATTAAATCTTTCACTTTTTGACTCATTACAGTCACAGTGTTGCAGAGACACCACGTGACCACATAAAAGCTACTAAAAACCAAAACATTAAGGTCTTTAAACATGAACAAATCCTGTTTGAGAAACATCACCGTGGACACAGCTCCAGCACTGACGCACTTTGGGCCATTTTCAGACAGATTATAGACGATAAAAGCGAAGAGTGGAGCAGTGAGTCGTGAGCACGGCTGCTGGAGGACTCGAGCCCAGCTTCAGGCAGGTGTAGGTGTGTGGCTCTGCCTACGTGTGGCCCTCCAGTAGTAGTGGGGTGGTGTGGACACAAAGGAAACCCCTTTCATCTCTTTCGCCTGAGACGTAAACACCCTTTAATTGTCTTTCCCCTCTCGAGCTCGCGGGGACGGTGACCATGGAGACACGCTCACTTACAGCTGATTCACGTGCGCCGCTGAGCTCGCGCAAAACAAGCCGTCAGCTCGCCTGCGACGCGCTTTCTCTCCCCAAACAAGCCGCTCGTGTCGCACTGAGTGTGTGTGAGGAGGGGCGACACTTACGGGAGAGTCGAAAGAAAAGGCGCACTCGCTCTTGAACACCCGGTCTCCTGTTCTGGGGACCCTGATGGTGGGCATGTACGGGACCAGCAGCTCTCCGAGGTCTGCAGCCATCTTCGCATTCCTGCTTCTCGCACCACAGTGCTGCGGAGCCTCCGGGCAGCGCCTGTCACAGGAGAGGATGCTATTTTTAAAGCACTCCGTCTCTACATTCCTCCGACCAGGGGGATGTGACGCTGAAAAACATAAAAATAAAATGACAGAGGGGTGGAGGCAGGCAGGCAGGCTGCTGCGCGGTGCTGCGCAAAGCTGAAAGCTAATGTTGTTCTTTTGTGTTTCTATTCTTTTTCCTGCCTCCCATCACACACACAGATCTTGGACCTGCGCAGACATTGCTGCTGTTGGCTGCGGTGACGCCGCTGTGCTGCTCACGGGGATGTTTTACGAGAAGGGCCCCTCCCACCTCTGAGGATGATTCATAAAGCCTCCCACATTTACTACAGCATGTTTCCAGGATTCAGGAAGTGCGTGATTATGGAGCACACTTTGATTTTTAGTAGCTGCTGATGATCCTTTATCAATCTGCAGTCGGTTTGTTTAAAAGAGAGAGAGCAGTAAATGTCATTGCTCTGCAGGGTTTTGCGAACATAATAAGTAAATAAACAAAAAATATACTGCAGATGTTTTTATTTTTAATATGTGATTTTAAGTCCACTTATGCTGCGTGTGTCTAAAGAAGCCCTTTGTCCGCATGACCAGGCTCGTCTGCAGAGCTCTGCCACCCGGTGGACGCTCGTGTTCATCGCAAGAAAATATAAACTAAACCAACAGGAATCCAACCTTCCTCAGAGACCTGGAAGAATTCACAGTACAAATAAATGTAAGGTGCAGTTTGTTTTAATTGCACTTGGCTGAAGATTTCGCAGCCCTGGCCAAGCATTTCGATTTTTCTTGATCTTTGTCAAAGGCCAGTATATCCTGGACAGGCTGTCGATGTCGGGCTGATACAGAGACGGACAACCACAGGAGGCTTTCAGAGTCACTAATTAACCCCACTAACTGCAAAATTCTGACTCCTTCATGAAATGTAATTACAGATATTTTGCACATTTGATTTACTCTTCAACTTGAACTTTATTGGATGATTTCAGCTCAGAAGGATTCACACAAACTGAAGACGGGTGGTCTCCGTGGGTTTCCTGCTCTGACACAAGCTGCCAGTCCCCGATCATCTGGAACATCATCACGGTAAAGGTGCTGCATGAACTGAATTAAGACGCTAAAACATGAATGTCAGAGTTCGATAGATACTTTATTCACGCAATGAGGGAAGAAATGTACAAACAGTGAGATTGATGTACAGATGACAGAAACATCTGGATTAATGGTCAGGCGATGACTTGGGGCTGTTGTCAACGAGCTCCTTGTTAAGGGTCGGCACTTGAAACCAGGGGCCGTCTCCTTGCTGCCTCATATGGCGACGCACCTCCAGCTGCGTCAGTCTGTGACAACAAAGTCAGGCGGAGAATTAACACCATGCTTTAGAAATGAGCAACCGGTTAAGTATGGAAGACTAATAATGTACGACGCTCGTGAAATAAAGAATTACATCTGTCACAGCTGCAGCACACACACTTAAACTGATTCCTCAAGATTTACCAATCTCTGCAATTTCAATAACCATCTGCATATTTGTCAGAGAGCAAAAAGACGGTTCATAGGCTCGCCTGCACCTGTTTTCTTTTGGGGAGAGAAACAAAAAACTGAGGTTTTCCACATCAGTGGAAGAACGCGATTATCAAGGAATGCAGCTGCTCTGCACGCCCTCTCAGGACCCCTCCCTCCCACTGCATCATGTTCTGGTGCTTTCCATGACCGGACACACTTAAGAACGGCTGCGCTTTAGCGTTTGCAGTGATTTTTCCATGACAGCAAACTGCTGTTTCCTATTTGTGCTGTAAAGCACATTTGTAAACCTCTCTGCCAGTTAAAACAATCCCATCTCTTGGATGCTTCCCTCTGTAAAACTCAGTATCAAGACTCTGTTGGTCACACTACATACACAGCTAAACACCAGCTGTGGCACATCAGTGTATCGTGTATATGAGCCAAGCAGAGACGTCTTAAAAGCATTTAAAAGCATGTGTTTGTGTTGATGGTGGAGCATGAAGCACACTGGCAGTAACACCCACCTCATGTCTGCTTTTTCCTTTTCAATCTGGACTGCAGCCATCATCTTTTCGTAGTCCTTCACTGGGGAGTCGTAGATGTTCCTGGTGATCCACCTGGTGATGGGGTGCTGAAACAACAGAGCACAAGGACTTGGTGCAAACATAGGGCTGTCCCTTTAGTGCATGTGACATACATTTGTAGCAGTTCAGTGTTATTAGAATAGAATTCAACTTTATCACAAGCCTCCTCAGACAGGAGACTAGCATGGCTGCTATTTTTAGCTCCTTTCCTGAAGTCCCGGTCTGTTCCATTGCACTTGTGCATCTGCAGCACATGATGGATCTCCAGTGTGTCACTGCAATAATACTTCAACTCTAACTTCATTTTGGGGAAAAGGACAAAGAGCCAGAATCTGGAAAGTGCGAGGCAGTCGTCGGTGTGTGGACACAGACTGGTACGTGCTACGTACAGACTGCTTGCTCCAAGTCCAGAGATTATACTCTCACCATCTACAAGTCCGCTGTGGCCTGCTTGAGTCGCAGTGATGGGACACGGGGCCGTGTTGCCACTGTGTACACCTATGTGTCTGTGGAACTGTGCAGGCTGCACTACCGCACCCCCACACCCTCAGGGAGATGAACTGAGCACTGATAACAAGCCGGACGGTCCCTCTCCTCTTCAGTCTGAAGGATGTTGTGTTCATGTTTTCCAAAAAGAAGATTACTCTTTGATTTGTCTGACCACAGGACTGTTTCCCACTTGGCTCCAGTCCATTTTAAACGAGCTTTGTCCTGGATCATGTTCACATACGCCTCGTCTTTACATTATGATGCTTTGACATGCATTTGTTGATGACACGGTGACAGAATTATGTCGGTTTATCTCTGACAGGAGCAAACAGGAGGGACACAAAGTAAGGAAACAGCCCAGGGCAGACGCACACCCAGGCTACTGCAGCCCTTTGGCATACAGGTCGTTTGCACAACCAGGTCAGCTATGCAGGGCTGCATGCCTGGTTTGGATGCAGAGCAGCCTGAGGGCCTGCAACTGAAGGGCAGCCAATATTGATTTTCTCCTTGTCCCTTTGCCCCAAAAGGAGGTTTCTCCAGAATCTCCAGATTTGCTGATATTATTTACTGTGAGTGATGTTCAGTCTTCTTTGTGGTGAGAAACATTCAGTTCTGATCAGATTAGTGAGCCTCTGCTCATCGAAACGCTGCCTCTCTAACATTATCTTCTTATGCACAATCATGTTACTGACCTATTATCAGTTAACTTCATTAGATGTGAATTTCCCCAGTTATTTCTTTTTAGTACTGCTTACTTTTCAAGCTTTTTTTTTGGCCTCCATCCCATCAGTTTTTTGTTAAACCACGTTGCTCTAATCAAATTCAAAATGATCAAATGTTTTCAAATAATGTTTTGAAATAATTTTGGCCTGTTACAGGATACCTGTCAAAAAATAAAGATGCTGCATTGCACATAATGATGAGCCAGCTCTGCCTCACCGACATAACAGACATTTAATCGAGCAACATAACGACGTGCAGTGCATGCTATTTCAGTCGAGGCTTCTTTTAACGCTACACTGAACGGGGCCCTCGGAGAGACTTTTACCTGAGGGGCCCGTCGCAGCACCTGGGTTTGAAAATGTAACACAACAGTCCCATAAAACACTCACGGGAGGAAAACATGATGTTTGGGGGGTTAACAATGCACTGGGGTATAATAACGAATATGCACATATTATGATTACACTTCAAAATAAAATCCGTTAATACGAGTTTGAAGCAACGACAGAAAGAACCACAAACAACCAAAGAGACAAAGGGACGCACCTTGTAGTACTCCCAGTGCTCGGGCTCGTAGCCTTCAGGAACTTCAGCCAGCTCTGCCTCACCTGCACGACGGACATTTAATCGAGCAACAGAGAAATTCATTCCATACGTATTTGAGTGAATCCTGGAAAATATGAGAAGCCGACTAGAACACACAATAAACACTTATGCTTACTCACCGATGAAGATATTCACCCCCGTGACGACGATAGCCACTGGAACACCAGTCAGCAAGATGTAAAATTGCTGAGGGAAAAAATGAGAAGAAAATCAAATATATGGCAAATTCAGTTGTTGATGCGTGCAAGTCACCATCCAAAATTAACCAAGAAATATCTCTGACTTTTTAACTCAATGAACTGACTTTTTATTTTTAAACCAGCTTAAACATTTTAGGCCAGTTTAGTTCTGATGTATGCACGGCTCTCTGCTGCTGGTGCCTTTGAGCAAGGTGAGTAACACAAATGTGTGAGCTGGTTTTTTGGCTGAGTGTAAGAACATGAACACAAACATGGTTACTATTTAGAAACCTGCACTGTGGGAGAATAATAAACTTCCAACAGTACGTCTGAGCAGTCGAGGAAAATATGTTGAGGACTAAACTTCCTTGGTTACATTTCAATAACAAGATTTAGTTTTGTTCTGGGTGAACACAAACATTACGATTAACACGATACAGAAAAGTTAACAACTGCTGTGTATGTACGTGAGCTTGGTAGAGGTGATGGTGCTCTGCACTTACCAACAGGCGCAGAAATCTCCTGTCATAGTAGTCAGAGGGTTTGATGACAAACAGTCTCTTTCCATGACCCCAACGGACCGCAACTGCAAAGCAGGGCACAGTTACTATCATGATGCCTGTGATTGGTTGTAGTGAGTACGCACGCTGCCTCTTCAGTTACATGGAGGCTCTGTCCAGTGTACCAAGTATCTCTGTGATGTATTACAAATGCAAAGTCTATGACCCACCACTACATCATGATTAGGTGGGTGGAGCTTGTATTTTGTGTTGTTTTTCTAGCAGGCTGAGATGTTTTACATGGTTGACACGTTTGCCCCATCTCCCTTGCCCGATTGAGTTTAGTGCTATAATTACATATTCATATAATTAAACTACAAAAACTCAGATTATGATTACGTTTCACTTCAACAATAAATAATCCCAGATTATTTTTGCAATAATGGCAGTCATCCATTACTGCGGTCATCTTCTTAGTAATAATCTTTGTTTTGACCATATGGGCAAAAATCAAGAATGACCATCACTGCAGCTCGTCAAATGTGTATTCGTGTGGTTGTTCCCTTCAGAGGTTGCCAAGCAGATCGTCTCCCTCCTTCACTACATCCACGAATCTTTTCAGTGGCCTTCCCTTTTATCTGCCTTTGCAAAACAAATCCACTACCTCTCCTCTGTAATTGTCCAAACCATCTCAGCCTTGCTTCTCTAACTTTGTCTCCAAAGCGCTCAGCCTGAGCTCATGTGCTCATTTCTAACCTCGTCCATCACAGTCACTCCCAATGAAAGTCTGAGCATCTTTAACTGTGCCACCTGCAAATCTGCCTCCTGTCTTTTTGTCCATCCATAATAGCAGACCTCACTACAGCCTTGTAAACATTTCTATTCGCTCTTGCAAAGTAATGCATGAACTGTTTAAAACAGGGGTAGGGAACTCCAGGCCTCGAGACGGTGTCCGGCAGGTTTTAGATGTGTCCTTGAGCCAACAAAGCTGATTTAAAGGGCTAAATGACCTCCAGAGGCCTGGTAATGAACTAATCATTTGATTCAAGTGTGGTGACCCAGGGTAAGCTCTAAAACCTGCAGGACACCGGCTCTCGAGGACTGACGGTCCCTGCCCCTGGTTTAAAGGGTGTCCCACTGAGTCAGGTGGCTTTACTGAAACCTTATAATTTAAGGATATTAAAGAACATGTCGCTATTAAAAACATGGTGAAACGCGTTTAGATAAAACTGCAGACCACAGCACTGCATGCAACAAGCAGATTTATGTTAAGCGTTGACACAGATGACAAACTTTCATTCAAACCCTGTAACCCGACTAATGTTTTACTAAATACGCACCACTTACTGCAATGAAAAGGCAGAGGTTGAAACTGGAGGATAAACAGTGGCGTATATAAACAGTACATGTGTATACGGAGCTATAATAAAGTCACTATGTCTTCCTTTATTGACACCGGGACAGACGTTAACAGCTAGCTCATGTTAGCAAGCTAACAAGGTCATGAGAAAAGACAAGCAGCCTTCCGGTCCGTCGTCTCATTCTTTAAACAACCGGGGTGTCTTACCTTTATCTGTGCGGGGGATTGCTCGAGTGAGTAAATTAGCCGCAGTATTTCCAGATTTCAGAGGACTCAGTCTGGCTGCGAAAGCAGCAACAGACCTGAGAGCGCTCATGCCCACCATCGTTACTGTGGGAGGACGGCCCAGCAACACGAACTGTGATTGGCCGTTCAGCGAATAAGCGAATCATATTTGATAAGAGCACAGGTGTAGTTTCTTTTCAACTGAAATGTTATACGGGGTTTTATTATTAAATTAATATCATAATAATGTATTTAGCACCATAAAATTATTTAAAAATATATCTTTCTTCTTTTTTCTTTCTTTCTTTTTTTAAGAAAAAGAGACAAAATGCATGCTGGGTAATATGGGAAGCGCTACATCAAAAATGGCGGCGTCCTCATCCACAGGACGCGTTTTGACTCTTTGCAAGCAGTTTCAAAATGTCTTTAGGATATCAGCAGCGACAAACGCGCGACAGGCCGCTGTTAGTTCGCCCAAATGCCAGACTCCTCTTCTCAGGTAAGAGATCCGTTTAACGCTTTCCCCGAAACGGAACAATAATGTGGGTTAACTACGACACATTCAAACTGTCGGTCAACAGCTCAGCAGTCACCGTGCAAAGATGCCAGTGATTGTTTACGTCAGAGAGACAGGTTTCCTTTATCACGCTGAGGGAGAAACCCCGAGTTCCCGTGTTGATGTACTCAGTGGACATTTATGGTTTTATGGCTGATTTAAGACTGAAGTGAGATTTTGACTGCTGTGATCGTGGGGTCTCCATTATGTCCCATCAATACACAGCTTTTAACTACACATGTGAAAAGTAAGTCACAGCCTGAAGACTAACTGACAGGTCAGTGATGTTTGGACAGAAGAGGCTCCAAAGAACTTCAAATGATCCGAATTCTTATTTGACGTTAAAGAGCTTAACATCAAAAACATCTGCCCTGGGATTAAACCAGAAAGTGCTGACATGTAACACTTAAATTTCAAGCTGGAATTCCCTGAATTCAGTTTTTGTTGTTTGGGGTTCAGCATTTGTTATCAGGCTTACTGTGTGCACTTTCTTCATGTGCAACAGGGAGAAGTCTCCCATCGTCCCCCCATCCTGGAGCAATCCCATCAGCTCTCCAGGTCAGCATCGAGCTCTGCACACAACCATCAGCAGGAGAGGACTAGAGGAGTTCTTTGATTCACCTGAGAACTGGGGAGAGGCCAACGTGAAGTCAGGTAAAATATTACAGCACGCAAAGAGAACATTGTCTGCAGGTTTGATTGTAGTTTGAATCAACCTGAATGTAGATCAGTGTAAACACAATCTGCTAAACACTATTTACCAGCACGATTTGTTAAAAGTATAGTAAATACTTTTAACAAATTGTTTGTGGTCAGATGTGAGTTTAGAGTGACATGATCGTTTTACTATTGCACTAACGAGGTTGTTATAACTTTGCACTATTAGGCGCACCGTGGACCGCCAAACAACTGAGAACAAAGAGCAACGAGGACTTGCACAAACTCTGGTGAGCTGTGTGGAAATGAAGCGTCTCCGTGGAAACATTTAAAACATTTAGCGGCGTGTAACCCTCTGATTGTGTCTCAGGTACGTCCTGCTGAAAGAAAAGAACATGCTGCTCACACTTGAACAGGAAGCAAAAAGGCAGCGGGTCCAGATGCCGAGTCCAGAAAGAATAAGAAAGGTTCGTCTCATGCTGAGCTGATAGCTGAGCTGATAGCTGACATGATGTGGGTGCCAATGGTTACGTGAGGCTTTCTCCCCTCCCAGGTTGAGCGGTCCATGATCAGGCTAGAGACGGTGGCGAAGGAGAGAGAGAGCGCACTGCGTCTGCTGCAAACAGGACAAGAGAAAGGCCGACCAGGAGCCTGGAGGAGGAACATATTTGGATATGTGTACTGGTGAGGGCAATGATGGGAAAAAGAAATGTCATACCTTTATCATCTGGTGTTTGCAGGACATAGTAGGTCCATATATACACATGTGGTCCAAGCTTTGTTACATGTTTCATTCTCAGATTGAGCCTGAAAAATATTATCAGTGTTTTCTTGGATTGAAAAAAAGAGTATTTACCAAGAAACCAGTTTAAGCTGCTTTCAGCTTATGCTGCTTGATCCTGCTGGAAGCAGTCATCAGAAGATCAGCATATTGTTGTTATAAAGGGATGAAATGATCAACTATACTCAGCTAGGCTGTGGCATTTAAATGGCCCCCACACATTATACCGCCACCAGCTGTTGATCCGAGGCAGGATGGATCCATGACTTCATGTTGCTTATACCAAATTTGGACTCTACTGTCTGAATGTTGTAGCAGAAATCTCATCAGACCAAACAATCTTTCTCCAATCGTCTGGTGCCCGGTGCTGGTGAGCCCTTGTGAATTGTAGCCTCAGTTTCCTGTCTGACAGGAGCGGCGATCCATGCGGCGTGCTGCTGTGGCCCAGCTGATGCTAGGTTCGACAGCGTGTTCAGAGATGCTCTTCTGTATGCCCTGGTTCTAACATGTGGTGATTTGAGTTACTGTTTCCTTCCTATTGGCTTGAAACAGCCTCTCACTTCTCCTCTGACACCACCAGGCTATTGTTTGGACAGAGCTGCCACTCATTGAACAGATTTTCAGCAGTTTTGAACTACTTACAGCAGCCAATCTGGCACTAACAACCGTGTCACGCTCATCTTAACCTTGCCGCAATGCGATTGGCTTAAAGCGCTTCGAGCGCTCAGAGTAGAAAAGCAGCACGTAAGCACCCGTCCATAGTTGTGGTAATGAGCAGCTGAACCGACTCCTCCTTGGCAAAGCTAATTTGACTTTTATTGGTAATCTCATTGATTTATTTCCTCCACAGGTATCGATTCAAAGAGTACGCTATTCCCTGGTACATGAACCGAAGATACAAGCGCAAGAGGTTCTACACACCCAAGTTTGTTGAACCACACATAAGGTAAGACCAGTGTGTGCAATATCATGTACATTTAAGTACGTGATACTTTTCTTTCAAAGGGTTTTATTTCCTTTCTCCTTCAGGCTGCGTATTGAGAATTACCTCCGGGAAAGGGCGAGGAATGAAAACTTAGAGAAGAGACGTCTCGCCAAGTTACAGGAGAGGTTCCCCCAGATTCAAGCTCCTGCATCCTGAAATGTGTAGCTCCTAATTTTGGTCTTTCCAGGATCTGGCTAGTGTGACTCAGCTCATCAAATAGCCATGGATGGACTGAACCTGTTGTATGACCTTTCATGTGATCTCAAAGATAAATGATGTAAGATCGCTCTAAAGTGTGCCGCTCGCTCTGTTTGACCGACTCCAGTTTTCTTTACGCTCCTGTATGAAAACCCTCAGAACTGAAGTAACCAGCGGGCTGTTGAGACTACAGCACTCAGGTAATCATTAAAAAAAACTTTATTTGTAAAAGACCACATGAAGCCAATGACAAGCAAGACTGAAAATTAAATACAGATCTGAGTTAATACCAGTAAGCACAGGTAGGAACGCACTGGCCTTTACCTGTGAGGACTTGACCTGCTACATAGGAAGAAAAAAAAGGTTCGAGACGATATTCACGTCAAACTAACAGGTTATTTTTCCAAATGCATCCTAATCATCCCAAGTTTACCAGATCTGCACAAATCATTCTGGCTTCTGTCGTTTTGATCAGAAACGTGTTTTGATTCAAGGTTCCCACCAACAACTTACAGATAAGGCAGCCGGCCGACTTTCAGGGAGCTCGAGGAGCTGAAATTGCAGATGTTTGTTTTCTACAGCAAATCCCAGACAGGTGTATGGACAAGCTCGGTTTTAAAAACAAGTCGTACAAAAATAAAACAGCGAGGTGTTCCTGAGTCTGGGTCAGAGGGGGAACCATTCACAAAGTTGAGTTTGCAGTGAGAAAGACGATGAGGATCGGGGGTCAAATCAAGGGCACTTCCTGTCCACGCACTGCTTTCCTCCCTCCTCATACTCCTGTTTGGAGATCCACATCTGCTGGAAGGTTCCCTGGAGGATGCAAGAAAAATGTTTAAAACACTTTAGTGCCGTGAATGTGACAGACATGAAGCACTTTGTGTGTCCTTACCAGAGATGCCAGGATGGAGCCTCCTATCCAGGCGCTGAACCGGCGCTCCACTGTAGTGCTGTTTGCTATCAGCTTCAACCTCATACTCTGCAAAAGCACGCGATTAAAGAAAAATGATGAACAAAATGTAGCAAATTTAAAATGAAGAGACAAACATTGCAGTACATCACTGACTAAAGCTAAGGTTAGTACTGATAAAATCTTAGTGACATGCTGGCTGATCCTCACCGGAGGGGTTTTCTGGGAGAGTTCTCTGTTCAGTCGGTCGGTGAAGCCCTGAATGAGCGTGTTTCCTCCCGTCACCACCACACTGCCATACAGACCCTTGGATAACAGTCACAGGTCAGTAAATGGGGTTGTAGGGTTTAGGCACAGATATGGAGCACAAAAACTACTCAGATTACATAAAACGGTGTTTCTGAAAATCCAGTTTAACGAGGTGCTTACAGGCCGGATGTCGATGTCGCACATTCCCACGCTTGTTGTCACGACGTGGCCAACTCCTAGCATGGTGTTCCCAGACAGTCCCTAAAAGTGATCAAACAAAAATGTTCAGAAATAAAAACATTTGACCACCTCTATGAACTTTAGAGCAAAAAACTGCTTCAGATTCAGAACAATATACATTTAGTCGCCAGCGCCGTTCATCCGGGACCTGCTGAGTCAAACTCACCTTAGCATTGGAGGGGTCAAACAGCCCTTCTGGGATCTTCAGCCTCTCTGCTCCAAAGTCACAGTTGTAGCCATTGGGCAGCTCGTAGTGCACTGTGGGCATCTGGGCAGCAACCCTGATGAACAAAAGAAAAAGGGGGGAAGTACTGAAAGGTATCATATTGATCTATGTGTGCGTAAACATCTCTGCTTCTAATATGACTCTAGTGCAGCGTGAATCTGTTAAACTGAAGTTTAGGATCACTCTCACTGTTCATCGTATGGAGAGTCTGACACCTGCAGCACTGACGCCTGGAAGTCCTGGATTACACACTGGAAGAAAAAGACACTTTCATTACAAACATGTAATTATTGTCACTGTGCTGCTGAGTTTGCTGCTTACATTACACATGTAGTTGTGCCAAGAGCGGGTGACGTGAGGTAGTTTCTCCTTTTTCTTCCAACTGGCTTGGGCTCCCTCCCGCACTGGATCCTGTATGGACAAACCCCCCCCCACTGGTTAGACTCATCGCAATAAGGGCTTGAACCCAGTAATGTGGCAATGATGTGTAGAAAAGCCATGCGTGGTAAATGTTGAGCAAAGTTCATCATTTAACATTCATCAAATGAAACAATAATTTCCACAGTACCTTCGATGCGATCATGTAGGGAGGGATGATCTCCACGTTTAGCTCCTGAAACAGCTCCCTGCACTGCATGCTCATGAAGTCTCCAGCCAGGGGCGACTTGACGATGCCTGTTGAGAGAAAGAATAACACGCAGCTTTGTAGGCACACATAACAAAACCATAACACATCATTTAAAAGCACTCAAAGACTAATGTGACTTCAGTAACACCCCATTGATCATGTTCTGCACAGTAACAGTGACCCTGACTGGATCACTCCCCTTCCTGCTGGATTTCGTCCTCAGCATAATTAATGAATCTGGTCTTATTAACTAATGAATAAAACCTGACTTTGCTTTTCTATCTGTCAGATATCCTGTTCTTCAGTTATGTTTAGAAAGACAGTAAACAAAAAAGGCCACAGAAAGTTTTTGTGGAAGTAGTGAAAGAGGACATGCAGAGTGCTGCTGTGACAGAAAACAATGCTGCTTAAGAAAACGTTCGATGGACACACGATCCGCTGCAGCAATCCCTAAAGGAAGGAGCCCAAAGCAGGAGGGGGGCAAGTACTTGACCAATCAGAAACGTTCACAGTAAATCCTGCGCCCAGTCTCACGATACCTTTGCAAAATAATCTCCCACAGTTCAAAAACATGCATGTTATGTTAACGGTCCATCAGCCCTGCGACAGGCTGGTAAATTGTCCAAGGTGTACCCGCCTCCTGCGCTACGGCAGCTGGGATTGGCTCATCACAGTAAGCGGAGCTCTTCTGGTCAAACTGCAGTGAGCTGCACACTTTA